CCCCATTCGTTGGAGGTAAGCGAGGTTCATAGAATCACAGAATAGTTGAGGTTGGCAGGCACCTCTGGAGATTGTCCAGTCCAACCCCTGGCTGAGAGCAGGGTCAGCTACAGCAAGTTGTTAGGGGTTGTGTCCAGTTGGGTTTTGAGTGTCGAGTGTCTCCAGTGATGGAGACTCCCTCACCTCTCTGGGTAACCTGTTCCAGTGCTCAACCATCTGCAGCATAAAAAGTTCTCTCTTTAATTAGAATTTCCTGTGTTTCAGTTCCTGCAAATTGCCTCTTCTTCTGCCACTGGGCATCGCTGAGAAGAGTCTGGCTCCCCTTCTTTATTCCCCTTGCATCAGGTATCTGTAAACATTGATAAGATCCCCCTTGAGCCATCTCTTCTCCAGACTAAACACCGCCAGCTCTCTCAGCCTCTCATCATATGATAGATGCTCCATGTCCATGGTCCTTCACTGGACTCACTCCAGTATGCGCATGAAAGTTTATCTGTACGGAAGCAATCTAAGCCGCTGCAGTTGGGCTCAAAAGAGACTAATGCCCCTGCCCTAACTTACTATTACAAATACAGCCCTTGAACCTAAGCAATAGTCAGCTGAGAGGATGGAAAATACAGATTTCAGATCTTGCTGTGCTCCCAGTATATGCTAAAGAGGAGTTTTAACCAGTGGTAAACCAGAGATTGGAAGGGAGCTCTGTAGGTCATCTGGTCCACCTCCGCTGCTCAAGCAGGGCCACCTAGAGCCAGTTGCTCAGGACCATTATCCAGGCAGCCTTTGAGTATCTCCAAGGATGGAGACTTCACAACTTCCCTGGGCAATCTATGCTGGTGCATTGTCACCCTCACAGTGGAAAAAGTGTTTCCCGATGTTTAGATGGAGCCTCCTGTTTCAGTTTGTGCCCACTGCCTCTGGTTCTGTCATTGGGCAATTCTGAGAAGAGCCTGGCTCCATCCTCTCTGCACCTTCCCTTCAGGTATGTATACATATGGATGAGATTTCCTCCCTCCCTCCCACCAAGCCTCCTCTTCCCTAAGCTGAACAGTCCCAACTCTGGTAGGCAGGTGTTCAGCCATCCCCAGGAAAGCAGGGCTCCATCACGCCTAACGGGGACTTGGGAAGACAAATGCCATCACTCCAAATGTCGCCCCCTTCCCGCTTCTTCCCCCAGCTTTATATGCTGAGCATGATGTCACATGGTCTGGGATACCCCTTTGGTGACTTGGGGTCAGCTGTCCCGGCTGTGTCCCCTCCCAACTCCTCGTGCACCCCCAGCCCACTCGCTGGTGGGGTGGGGTGAGAAGCAGCAAAGGCCTTGGCTCTGTGTGAGCACTGCTCAGCAGTAACGAAAACATCCCGGTGTTAGCAGCGCTGTTTGCAGCACAAACCCAAAACAGAGCCCCATACTAGCTACTATGGAGAAAATTAACTCTATCCCAGCCAAAACCAGTACACTCTCAGCCTTTCCTCAGATGAGAGATGCTCCAGTCCTTTAATCACCTTAGTGGCCCTTTGCTGGACTCCCTCCAGTATGCCCATGTCTCTCTTGTACTGGGGAGCCCAGAGCTGGACCCAGTACTCCAGATGTGGCCTCACCAGTGCTGAGGACAGGGGGAGCAGCACCTCCCTCGACCTACGGGCAACACACCTAATGCAGCCCTGGGTTTGGTCGGAAAAGGCTCATTTGCCTTTTTCCATTTTGGAAATGGCATGCTGCTGCTTCTGTCAGCTCCAGTAGGAGATGGATTCCTTGTGACAGTGATGTGTTTGTCTCCAGGATACTGCTATGTGCAACACAGTTAGCAGGAAGAGGGTTGGTAAGGTCACTGGGAGATCAAGGTGCCGTTTCCAGATTCACTCCAGGGCACATGTCTTTCTGTTCCCTCAGTTTTTTGAATAAATCACACAGGCAACACTACTGGGACACGACTAAATGAAAAATTCCCTCCTTGACACCACAGTTCAGAATTGGCACCACGATTCTTTTAGCACACTAGCTAAACACTTCTGAATAACACCATTTAATATATTTGAAAATGCATTTGGACATTACAGACAATCTTAGGAAATGCTTCACCTTTCACAAACCAGTGGTCAGTGTCTCTCATTGGGGAAGTCAAACAGTGACACTAATCCTGTCAGTACCTGCCATTTCTAAGGCACGCATTTGCAAACCACTTCTTTAGAAAAACATTGCCATCATTTCATTACCACTAAAGTTTCTTCTCGTGAAGAGAAAAATTCGCTGTGTAACCTGAGATTTTCTAAAGCAATGCAAAGCTCTCAAACTTACTGTTTTATAAAGCTGTAATAAGGGACACGGTGTTTTTTTATTTTTGTACAGGTACTTACCTTTTGATGACCAATTGTCATGCAGTGGAATAACTGGTGATTTCTAAACTAAAATACACTGTTCTATGTTACTGGAGAACGAGCATCATGACCATGGAGTGGTCACTGGACAAGGGAAAACAAGAGTGAACCTTAATTCACCTTTATACTCATTTATTGAAATTAACTGAGTGTTGCATGACTGGAGCTCAGATAATGCTCCAGGTTTATGACCAGTTCTTCTACAACTTTCATACAAGTGTTCAGATTACATTTTCACGAGTGTATTTACTTTCTCTCTTACAAAATACAAATACAAAACTGCCTTCTAATATCACTTCTGTAATTTTGTAGGTCAGAATTATGGTCAGTATTGTCAGCCTTTCAAGAGAAATAGAGCAATAAACTTGAAGTTTTGTAAAGTGAAATCACTTATAAAAGCAGAGTGAAAAGATGTGTATCCAACATCAATTATTATAATCACAAAGAGCTGAAATACAGCAACAATTTCTCATTTGTACATATTGAACAGCAAAAAAGTAAAAAAATATATACATACAACAAGTTTAATAGGGAAACAAACCTGAAACAGTTCTCTACTGCTTATGGATAAGACAACTTTCCCTTAAATTTTTAGTGCATTCCCTCTCATTGACAAGAACTAATGTATTTTATCTTCCTGTTCTAAGGTGAACTGAAACCAATCAAATCTTCCTTCAAATCAAGAACAGTTGTGAACTTGCGAATTAATACATATTCACCTGAGATCATTCTGAAATATAAGACAAGATCAATAATGATTAACAGCTAAGGTGCACAACCATTTTGTCATTTTTAAAGAGAAACAGCACTTTTACAGAACAGGTTTTGCTACAGGACAGTAAAACTGTCTTGTGTAAAGAGAATTATTGGAAACAGTATAGGAGGAGACACTATGAGGACCATAAGCAGCTCACTCGTCTACTTTCTTCTATTCAGTATTGTCCTGTTCCCAACTTTCTGTAAAAAACAAAAAGAAGGAGGGGAAGGAAGAAAAAAGCAGAAAAAAAATTGAAGATTAGAAGTATTTCTCCTCTAACTCAGTTTATTTTATGCTTATGTCAGTTTCTCTCAAATCTGTCGACTGACTTCAAAGTAAATGGTAAATACTACAAGTAGATGTATTTCATCTAGGTCAAACAGCATAAAGCAAACCCACAAAGCTAAATATTGTCTACATGTGTATCCAGCTCTGATTAATGGGTAAAATTAACCCTGAGATAAAAATAAATAAGCCAATGCTTCTACCCTTCTTTTATATCTGGAATTAGTTGTATAGTCCTTTTTAGAGTAATTCTGTTGAATACAGTTAGTATCCACTAGTGACATGTTTAAACAAAATCAGCTTGACCACTGATAACTACTTAAAAGCATCACAAAAGTACATTCATCCAAGCACTGAAAAAGTCACAACTGCAATGGTAGAGAGAGAATTACCATGCATAAATTCCACTGAGGACAGCAAGGTCAAAGCTAAAGGGGCTGTCCTGTCCTGTCCTGTCCTGTCATGTGTGTTCGTCTCAAGAAACAGAGCCACAGTGATGTTTGGAGGTGGGAAGGATCCGGGCAAGAGTGAAAAGAAACATGTGTCACTCTACAATATGCATTGGTACTGTACCTGCATGCACCAGATCATGGAATCATTTAACATTCTGTTCTCCACTCTCATGATTTGAGGATTTATTATTATCTTTAACACGTGGTACATGAGAGGGAAAAAAGAAAGAAATTAAAAATCACAGAAGAACCCCATGCTGCAACTAAGGACTAAACTCCAATTTCTAGCATCTCATGACAGTATTTTAATCATGAGACCATCAGGCAGATATGCAGCCTTAATCATCTGTTCAGCACAGCTGCTTAGTGACTACACCATGTGAGAGGAATAAAATCAGAGGGGAAAATTGTGTCCTGCTTACAGAAGTGCTCAGAAATATTGAAAAGCATGAATGTATGCATGTACCAGAGTACCACACCAGCCACAACTCCATGAATCTGGGTAGGAGAAATAAAGTAAGACTAAGATGCAAGCCCAAATCCTGCAGAGGTCAGGACCTCCAAACTGAACAGAAATCTGTGGCTACCAAGTTTACAGGTGAAAAAACAACCAACCCAACATCACTTTGGCAAAGCCTGAGGCAAACAAAGGTATGATTTTATAAAACTTGTTTGTATCTCTACAATTTTGCAGATTAAATCCAAGCATTTATCTTGGGATGTCTTTGTTGATTCAATGCATCAAATGCAATTACAGATTAATGTTAAGGCAAGACAAAAAGTCATGCCAACACGGTCTACTCGAGGTGAGCCAAACTTGCAAACTGAAGTAACAAAAAAAGAAAACACAATTTTAAAATGTATTTCCATTGTCTCTTCAAACACTAACACAACTTGATTTTGTACAGCATCCTACATATAAGCTGTACCCAAAACACTTAGCAGACTTTAATATGAGAACTGCAGCATTAAGCAGCAGAAGAGAACAATTAAGTGCTGCAGGCAAAGAAGAAAACATAAGCTCTCAGATGGGATTTGAAACAAAAGGGAGAATCAAGATAACTTTGTCTCCTGTTTTAAGTCTAGAAGAAATAAATGTCATAAAGCAGTATCAAAATGATTCTGTTTACCTCAATAGCATCATCCATTTCTGTGATCTCATACAATCATTTCAGTTTGTTTCTGAATTAGGAAACTCTTTCTCTGGAGAGCTGTCATCGCTGAGGTCACTGTAGCTGTCACTGTTAAAAGCAATACACAGTCAGAAGGATCTAAAACAATTATTGTATTTCAAACCGCCAACCCAGATGATGCATATGACAAACACTTTCCTCAAATGCAATCCATTTCCAGAAAACATGCTCAATTTTGGAATTTTAGAATGCCTTCCTCTTCAGGAGTGGGCTTAAGTTTGGAGTCTAAGAACTGATGAGAAAAAAATATTCCACTGTATAAACAGTATGTTTCATTTCTTTTTGCTTGACTCCTGTATATTCATTCTATAGTTTGCTGGTGCTGCGTGACTGTGACCATGATTAACAACAAGGAGAGTAACAGGTATTCAGAGCAAGACTAAAAGGAACTTATCCTTTATGATAAATGATTGTTTTGACCAAATAAAAAGTTAAGACAACTGTAACTTTCTTTACTCAGAATGCTTTAATTTATACCTAAATTACAATTCTTGGTTTTCCAGTCAGAATACAAATAATTTTCATTGCACCAAGCAATATCCTGACAGTTTTTCCTGAGGATTTATCCCCTTTGCTGTTTCCTGAGAGTACACTGGTTTTCGCAGAACTGCCATGGCAAGTGATGGTTTTGTAAGTAAGTGGCCAGAAGTAAACAGTGAAGGACAGGAATCACGCCAGTGACTGAGAGAAAGAAGTGCCCACAAACCACATTTTTAGTCAGCTGTGATGTCTATGAGGTCTCCAGGTTTATCTTAACTCTAAGTGCACAAACTGCACCTGTTCAGCAGAGCCTCCAGCCTCAGCCTCCCCCTGCTACACTTCACTTCTACAATGTTTTCTAGATACTTGAATTTCCCAAGATCAGAAGCCAGCAAAGTGAGCCCAGGGAACTGACAAGTACCTTTGAGCAGCAATAATTCTGGTCAGTTCTATGACACTTCAGAGAGCAGGTTACGGTTAACACAGTACAGATGCGGATCTAAGACATCATTTGTGTGGGTACACCACTGCCAGCCTTGGGTACCAACTCTACTCCAGTGACCACACACCTGTCTTGCCACACGTCACTCTTATCACATACACCTTCATCCCCCAGCCAACAGGATCTCAGTGACGTCATGCTCCCCGCCTCCGGGTATGACCTCCCACTGAGACATCAAGCACATCATCAGCCCACCACCCACCTAGACACAGCTTTATCAGTTGATCTGCAGTGATTGCCTGCTGTGTAGTGTTTCAAGGGGAACTATGTAACCCCGCAGCTGGAGATCTTTGATCTAGACTGCAATGTGGAACAGTGAACAAACTGCACTCGGCTATACTGGTGCTTGTTACCGAGCACTGCTTTGTAGCCTGAATTTCACTCTCTCTTCTTTGCAAAAAAATAAAAATAATTTTAAAAAAAATCGAAGATTAGGTAAAAACACAGCCATTTTGACAGAGTGGGACAGGAGGAGTGGCACCAAGAGTCATCTCATTTAATTTCTACCTCTGTTAGGAAAGCCTCCCACAGTTACAGCAAATCACTGTACCAAATTCTGTATGAGGCAGAGTAGGCATTCTGATTGTTCTAACAATTATTAAAACTTTGCCTACAGCATTGTGCCCTTTATTCACATGACACACATATTGTTCATGTGGTTCTTATAAAGAGTGTGTCATCTCAGGCTACCAAGAAATGCTCTATTTGATCATTTCAGCAGCTGGCAAACAATTACATCGTTCAAGTGAGGAAAGTGTTGTTAACAGTATGATCAAGCATGCCAGATGCACACAGACAAACACAACATCATCGACATTGTACTTACTTCTTTCTGAAAGTACCCACGGAAACATGGAATAAAAATTCAGTATTACTGAAACATTTTTGCATTTTCACATCACAGCAAATTTTTTTTAATCGGTTCTGCTGCCCAGTGGCAGTCACAGCCCGAAAACATACACCAGAGCTCCGTATACAACAGCGTGGGAGACAGGTGCTTAAATAAAAATGCTCAGGGACCAAAGAGGTGAGCGAAGAACTGCTCATCTTCATCTCTTGCAGACAGTCAGGTGCTGATCCCCACCCAGCATTCTCATCACCAGTCCTCCCCCAGTCAATTGCGTGAGTTTTAGAGGCATTCACCCACAGAACAAGTCACACAACGCTGGATGTTTCTGTCATTTCATCGACTTACCACCCCAACTTCTCAGGCCTGTCTCCAGCTTGCAGAAGCTGAGGGTCAGGTCACTTGGCTAGCCACTAGCCCAGAGGCTAAAACACTTACTTGAGCGATGACAATTTTGTTTCTGTTCCCACACTGCCTAATTCAGTACAGGATTTGACTCCACATCCCAGAAAAAGGGCTCTTGTCATCACATTCTTGACTTCTGCTGTAACACCTCACAGCCTCCCCTACTTCAGGGCTGTCCTGCTGGGTGTAAGTCAGTTTTAACTCTAAGAGGCAGGCCACAGTGGTAAGAAAGGTAGGGGAAATACCCAGGTCAGGATCAGCCCTTGGGCTTCAGACTCAGGTAACTGTCAGTCTCACAGTTTGAGTGATATCTCTACGCAACCCCAGAAGCTGTGGTACCATGTTAACAAGAACAACTTGTGCTCCAAGGAAACCTGAACTTCTTCAAGACTTAAGCTGCCAGTGGACTCGAAAGCAAACAAGGACTCATGAATCTTGGCATATCTACACCTGGGTGCTATATTGGTATCAAACCAGTGCTGACCTCCAGTTTGTAAGATTTACTGCGATATGAACTGTGTTCAACTGATAAGTAACCTGAAGAAAAACTCCACGTGGTATTAACCACTAATGAGTCATCACCTCTCTTAGGAATAAATATGTACTTCCTTCCAAATTACATAGATATTAAACACAAAACCAAATGGATATTTTGTGCTCACAGTTGCTAATATTAAGTAATCCTGCTTAAATGTGCTGGCTATGAAAGTAGTGGTGGTAGGAAATCAAATAAGCCTGGCTTTTTCTTTATGAAATTCTTTTTCACACTTAGCCCTCTACTGAAAAAAATACACTTACATGTCCTTCAGCAAGCTTTCTCTCAGTTTGTGTACAAATTAATTAGTAATTATCTTGGGCAGGAACCTGACACCCACTTCATCTTGTTTGTAACCTTTCCCACAACAGCAGACTCCAACAAAAAGGAGCTAGTCAGCAGATCTAAGGCCAACACAGAGGTTCTATTCCATCTTTTTTTTTCCATGGAATCTGGAGTATAGAGATGTGGGCGAGAGAAAAACAGAACAAAACTCAGATTATGCAGTGTCACTGCATCTACTCAGTCACTTCAGTCTTCAAGACGAAGAATTTTGGTCACTTCAATCCTTACACCTAATTTACCTGTAGTTAATGGAAATACATTCACTGCAAAGTGAAATATCAACCAGTACCTAGCTGGTATTTCACTCTGCAATTAACTGCAACATGAAACATCTACTAGTACCTAGCTGCCATTTCATTTTGCAGTGAACTGCAACATATTTCCCAACTGGAGCAAGGAAAACATCCTCTGTTGAGAAATTACATTACGGGCTTTTGTTTTGTTTTAAAGTTCACTCAGATCCCTGTCTTCTCAAGACTTAAGCAATAAAGAGAGCTTCCTCCCACATGTGTTCCATTATTACCAAATTCATGCCCGTTTCAGATCTCTCTGTCCTCCTGACAGAGGTATCATCATACCTCTGCTACGCGTCAGCCTAAAGCAGGGAAGGAGGCAAGATGAGAAGATTGCCCATCTGTATGGTACGGAAGGCAGCCGATAGCTGGGGCCACACGGTATGAAGCTGGAAAGCATCACCTCACCAATCACTCTCAGCTACAAAACCACTAGAATTAAGACTCAAGATAATTTTAAACCTTTATTTCTCAAACAGCTGCACAAAAGCACCAGAACTGCCTGCTTTTAATGTTTTTATTAAGAAACACAAGCAACCGTAAAATGGGTAGTCTGTTTGTTTCATCTGGAAAATCCAGATCAACATTCTTTAAAAATGAAGGATTTGACACAGTTGCAGAGGGGCTTTTTTCATCCTTTTTTAATGTATCATTGACAAAAATATCCTTTTCCAGAAATGTAAGCAATTTAAACAATTGTTACAGTAATGCTATTCCCTGCAAAGGCAGGAGCCAAGCTAAATGCATTTCTTCCTCAATGCAAATTAAAGATAAATATAATTACATTTAGTACAGGCTGTGGCTGTTTAAAACAAACAATTGTTATAGCTTCCGAGAACCTAGCAAAAAGAAATCTGTCAGTTATTATTATTTATTCCCCCCACATAAAGCTGAATGATTAAAATTATTATAGTCATTAAAACATTATTTAAAATAAATGCATATTTGATTGTGCAATGCTTATAATTGCAGTCACTCATATTTCTCTGAATATTTTTATGATCATTATAGGATCATAAAAATGATCATATATCATTTATTATGATCACCATCGTTATATGACCCTATGCTTCCATGAAACATCATTTCATTAAAGAATCCCTCAGCACATATCTAAGACTCCCCAGTTCCAGCCTGTCAGACATCTGCACTCGCATAACTGGACCTAGGATAACAGTTTTGCTAGAACCCAGCATTACAAAAATCACAACCAAGACACCAGAACGTATCTGGGTGTTATAAAAACTCTCGCCTGAGTCTCACGCATAGGATTCAATTCATATAGCTTTAGACATCTTCGTCTGAGATAGTTACTGCCAGCTTCTTACAGTTGACGGAAAGAAACAGGCACTTGCAGGGTATAATGCTTCTGATCCACTCAACCATTACAATGAGCTATATGGCTCCTTTGAAGTACATATTCACTTAGCGACTACAGAAAAAGACTTGGGGTGACGAGCTCAGAAGTATCTTCACTGTAAACATCTAACATTAAAATGACAAAGAAACTGCCATAACTAACCATTACTAAGTTCATCACGAAATACCACTATGGTTGAGAATGAATTTCCTTTAAAACTTTTTCTGTAGTTTTCTGTAAGGGCTCTGAGGGCATCAATAGGCCTTAGCTGCCCTGACCATCCTCACCTAGGGCCTCCACCAAGAGGCCTTGATCCCCAGTCCTTGCCTGAGCTATGCACAGGCATACTTGTACCCATCTCTTTAGTTCTGTCATCACTTGTTGACTGGACTTCCTGGATTAACCTTTGACCTGACTTGTCACTCACTTCTCACTTCTGCACTGGACTGCCTGTAGGACACGGTGACTGCCACTGGAGACAGTCTGCTTGCCACCTTTGGTGACTGCAGCACTGACTCCTGCTGGTGAGGACACCACCCCTGCCACCCCTGGCTCCTGGATTGTCTTCTTTTGTGGAGCAGCCCTTCTCTTGACAGACTTCAACCCACAAGATTTCCTTCAATTTCCTCTGAAACATCTGGATTTGGCCAATGGCAGAAATACGAAGCTGTGCCAGATGTGTTAGGATTGGGGATAACGTACAGGGGACATCGGAGATAGCCCTACCCATACCTCCTTTGTCCCTCATACACCAGAACATGACACACAGGCTATTTCCTGTTCTCTTTACAGCTGCTTGCCCCAACCTCCCTACACAGCTGGTTTGGGAGACAGCTGGACCATGTTAGTGCAATAAGCACCATATGGACAAGTCCATTGAGGTTTTTTTTCTTTATGGACCACTCCTTCTGTCCTCTAGCCACTGCTGTTCCTTGTCTCTGAATGCAACTCATAAGTCATCTTTTATTAATAACCTATCCAGAACTTAACAGATTACTCTGTGACTAGATGGTGTTGGATTGGTGCCTTCCATTAGCATATTCTTTGATGACTTGCAAAAATTTCTTTTGGCGGCAGTCCTAGTTGCCCACACTTTCTCACCTAGGAACATTTCTCACTTCCTACATTTCCTCCCATCTGCTGGGCGTTTGTGTTTAAATTATCTATCTTAACCTGTTACTCTCTTCCTCCAAAGAAACACATAATTTCACTATTTTCAGCTCAGGTTTTTAAATTCTCTATATCTTTTTACGTTACTTCTTTGTTCTTTGCTTTCTGCTCTTCGTTAAATGGTATTATTTGTGAATATCATTAATGCACTCTGGCCTACTCTTGCAGACTGTTAATAAAGACGCTGCCTGAGGGGAAAGAGGAAATAAAGCCTGTTGATGCTAAACTTGCTATGGGGAAAAAAAAAGGCAACATGGCTTTATTGTACATCAGTGGTTTTGAAATCCATATGACACTGTTCTGACAGATAAGTCATTTTTTATTGCTTTTTCCAAGTGAAATTCTGTAAGACTCAGTAAGAGTAAACATTACATCTGAAGTTTCTCTCTTCATCCACCGGTTTTCTATTAAAGCCTTTTGGTTTCTCTTAAAAAGCAGTGTATTTGTGGATACTGTACACCTTCTGAGAGTCTCCTCTGTCCTTTAAAATGGAACATGGAAACTGGCAGCCTCTCACCTTCCTCAGCTCCTTACAAAATGGTGACTTCAGTATTTCCATGGAAAGATTTGGGAAAGGTCATGATTTAAAAGCATTCACAAGGAAATGAAGTGCATGGCTTTGTCTGATGGTTAGGCACTCGTGACATAAAGCATGAGAGGCTGAAACCACAAAGGCAACTTAGATGCCAAACTACCACTTCAGGTAACTATGTAATAACTCATCACTGAGTTACACCAATCCTTTGCTCAGTTCCTGACTGTCTCTGTACACATCAAAGCTCCTGGGAACAAAGTTTACTCCAGAGGATGCATTCCAGTCTCAAACGAGGAATGCATCATGCCTATGTGTAAGCATTCGCATACTGTCTACCAGACTAGGCCTCACAAAAATTTAAGAGAAGGTTTATTCGCTTTTATTTATTTAGGGCACTCTCCTGAGATGTATGATGCATCTTTAAATTTACTGTTTGTTCTGCTTAGAAGCTAGGGCTTCTGTCTAGGTGTCAGATGTTCTAAAATTGCATCCTAATTATGGGGCTGTTAAATGTTCTAGGGTAATGATTTACTGTTAAGAATCTCACGCTGAAATATGGATTTCCTTTTGTCTCAGGAATTCATCATTAACTTGCTTTTGAGTGTTCTTAATAGACTAGCTTAGGTAATCTGCTCAATTTGCTGGCTTCCACAAATTCTCTTTCAGGTTACATCTTTGCTCTAGTCCACAGCATGACTACAATTCATGTAGGCCGGGCTGGATGCAGTGTGCAGAAAATCCTCTCCTCAGATATCTTTCAGTCTTGGCAGGACGTGCCTTAGGTTTACTGCTCAATGAAATCACTGGCATTCGGGGATGTAATTAGCACTGAAATTCCCTCCTGAACGTTCTTCCCTGCAAAATGCTCCTCTTTTAGCCTCGAAATGTTTTTCTATTCCAATGCTCTTTCTCAAGACAGAAGGGTCTGCTCGATTGGTGTGTAACCAGGTAAATGGTAAAATTTGTATTTTTATAAATAAGGTTTCAGGGTACGAAACTTTGTCTTTGCTAAATGTTTAAGTGTGGGTTGGAGTTTATTGTATGAACACGAAGAAAAAGAGTTGGATATACGTTTTATTGATTAATTCAAATAAGTGCAGCACATCAGTAATTGCTGAAACTTAAAGTCAAGGTTAGAAAATGTATTTGCTATATTGCTAAGGGATTTAAATTTAAATTGGCAGGACACATGCAGATCACTCATTCAAAAAAAGTAATTTTTCTTTATCTCAGAGAGACGAATAGGTATACTTATGGGAGAAAGCAGTAAAAGAAAGGATATTGGGACCTGGCAAACAAAATGAACTGTGATGCACAGAGAGCCCACAAGAAGAAAAGACTGAAGATCCCTGTGCTTGAAGACTCTGTCCTGACAAGTACCACAAAAATTTGACCTGTGTGATGCACTGGCACAAATTTTAAAACGTCAGTAATGTTACAACTGCTAATAACAATGACAGGATAAAGTACTAGGAGTATTTCGATCAAGTCTGTAGTTTGCAGATCAGAAATTCTCTCTGTAGGTACACCATTGCACAACTGGCCAGGGTGAGCAAAGATGAAGTGCGTTTATGAAAGACAACTGATACCCATAAGGAGCAGGGTACCAACATAGATTGATCTGGTCTGGCTTGGATATTTTTCATTACCACTGAAACCTGAATAAAACTTCTGTTTCTTGCTTAAGAAAAGGATCTCATTTTAATAGAAAGCAACACTCAAAAAAAAAACCCCAACAACAAACCCCCCCAAAAAAAACCCACAAAACTAGTAAGTTTGGTGCCTTGTTTAGAGGAAAAGCCAGTAAGCCAGAATTGGATCTGTTCTGTGTTATTATTCAGTCATTCTGTGATTTTTTTTTTTTTTTTAATTTTTGTTATTTTACCCTAGGCTTCCCTGTGACCTCTTTATCATTGTTATTGTAATGAAATTGTAACTGTTATTAGTATCATTGAAATAAACAAGAATGAGTTAACAATGGCTAAAAACTATTGCTACATTCAATAAACCAAAAACTCTGTGTCCAAGGGACAAAGGATTTTAGTTTGGCTGAACCATTCAGTTTTGATCTAGATCCAAACTCATAAGTCTAAAGCTATCCCAACTCTTTTGTTTCAGGCCTCTCTCTACTAGATGGTATTAATTATTTAGCTCCTGCAAAACAAAATCAGTGTTTTCTTTTTTATTATCACCATTCAAATACAACTAGGTAAGAATTCTACTTCATTGCTTGATCCTCTGGCAAATCACTTTCCCTGTGAGACTACCATTAACCAAAGTTAACACAGGAGGCCACTAACTTCACGTGAATTTACTAAAGGTTTTTTTGACTTTATTCTGGTTATAATGTATGCATCTAGCTTTAGCCCTAATAGCCTCTGAAAAGGAGGAAGTCAGGAACTGTGCTTATGAATACTTTTACACCAGGGTTTATTGTCAGGCATGTAACAGGAACAAGTAAATCAACACATGAACTCCTTTTCCTGTTCTGGAGTTCTGAATTCAAGGACAGGATAGTTCCTCTGAACATGTGACTGTCAAACTGCAGGCAAGTAAGAAAGAAAGATTACCTTGGAGACAATTTACATCCACGTTGCAGGTATGCATTGAGTGTCCCAGTTGCTGCTAGCAACAGTCCAAGGTATGGAGGTGAAGGTTTCATAGGCCTTGAGGAAAACTCTGGGTGGAACTGAACTCCCACAAAATATGGGTGATCTACAAGACAGATGTCAAAGAAAATTATAAGATGTGAGAAGAAGATAGCAGAACAACTGTTAGAAAAAAAAGTGCATTGAAGATTTAACACAGGAGTCCAGAAGCCAGATCAGCATGTGTGAATCTAAGGGCGAGACAGCAGGAACCTTAACTTTTTCCATGAAAAGCAACTGACAACAGAGGCAGAAGGTTAGTAAGGCAAATTAAGGAAAAATCATCCTGTGATTCAACCTTAATGTGCCCAATGATGTAATTAAAAGCTGAATAATAAACCTGTAATGACACGTAAGGGAGGGAGGGGGAGACAACAACCACAAAGTATACATTTATCATGTTATTTTCCTAGTATTTTGGTTTCCAATACATATTTGCGCATGCATAGTCAGAACATGCACCCATACATATCTGAGTGAAAAATAAAACAGTTCCTAAAAGACCAAGCATTATCATACCACAACTATTTACACACTAAGAGATGCATATGAAAGCAACATACAGAGGAATCTGGGGACAACAAGTTTCAAATAATTAGGCCTGGAAGGGATCTCCTGGGACATTAAGTCCAGTCTCCTGTTATTGAATGCAGCGACATCATGTAGTCTCAAGCACAAAGGGTCAAGGCTCTACCATAACACTCCCTAGGTTTTTTGGCTCCCACTAGAAAGCTCTTCTGATACTCTCTCCCTTTACTTAAAAACTTCTCCCTAATTCACAGGCCATCTTTGTTACAGCCAACTCAGATCCATTTCTTATGGTGCTCTTCTTTCCTTCTGTTAGGCCTGTGTGATTAAGGACAACAATATCACCACCATTCAACTCTGCCTGCCAAGCTAAACAAGCCATGCTGCTTCATCTTCTTTTAAATCTTCAGCTCTCTGTGTCCCAATCACAGCACCTCTTTGCTACTACTTCTGCTTCCTGTCGTCTTCAAAAGGATAATGAAAGAAAAATGTTTTCGTACTCTTCCATGCTGTGCACCTGTTCCTTCTTTGAATATTGTTTTAAAGGAGCTAACATTAGCCACTTCTAAAGCCAGGACATTGGACAAAATTAACCACAGATCTCTTCTGGTTCAACAATTTCCAAAATAATCCCAAACATTCAAGGAATTTTTCTGCAGTACAGAGTAAGTGATAACAAGAAAGCTGGGTGCTTCTTCTATGAAGATAAACTATATGATCTAGTATACTGTTCTTTCTGCTGCTATTTCTTAAAGAGAACCTGGATCCTAAATTGATCCCATAACTTCTTTCTCTCTACCATGCAATTTAGTTCTTTAAAGCTGTACAAAAAGCCAATGACAAAGCATCAAATATTTCCTGTGGGGATATTTTGCTTAAAAGCTTTGCCTAAGCTATCTGGCGTACTGTTATTTCTGTGCTTCTGCTCCAACCCACCCTCCTCCCTATGATGATTGTTTTTCTTTAGTAATCAGAGTCTCCTTGCAGCCCATTGTGAAATAATTCCAGGTTTTACTGCTGTTTTTATTCTTTTCACAGTAACATGCAATTTAAAAATTCTGCCTGATTTATCTCATGATGCTCTCTATAGAAGTTGTTTCAAGCAAAGCAGACAAAATAGCCTCCCAACACTACCATGAGTAACAGAGGGAACCTATCAGGAACAAACTAAGAACACCATGACAATTAGTGGTTTATGAATTCACATGTATCCTTTGCTCTCAGATTACACTATGGTGCAGCTGCTTGACATTGTAAGTAGGTGTCTATACTCAAAATTACAGCACTGTTCTTCAACACACCATGGAGTATATAAAATGATTTCTCAGAAGCATCATGTCACAAATAGCACTCCATAGGATGACAATGTATTCTTATAATAAACTCCATGCACAGAAACATAAATTTATCTTAACCAATGGCAATTAGGGGTCACATAAGAAAAAAAAACCACCTTATCTGGTAGCCTGCATCTTCAGGTGCCTGATACTCATCTAGCCAACAGTGATTTAACAGGAAGGAGTTAATCAAAGAATCAAGCAAAATCAAAGGGATTGTTTCTAAGAGCTACTCTGTGTGGCATTCAACAAACACATGCAGTGTAGCTCCTTTTTATTTCAGAACCTTTTAGAAAAGACATCAAGTCTGAGTAGATAAAGTAGCTCAAATTTACCTGATTTCCACAATATCAAACCCTTATCTATCTGAATCACTTCTGTGAAAGAAAGGAGCTTGCCTTCTATTTGATTTTCATACTTTGTTCTATGATTCTAAACAGAGGTTAAACTGATTGGAAGGTACCTTGGGAGGTCTCTAGTCCCACCTCCTGCTCAAAGCAGGGTTGAGTTCAAAGTTAAATCAGGTTACTGACAGCTTTGTCTAGTCAGGTTTTGAAAGTGTCTGTCTGTGAGTGGTTTGAAGCCCAACCAACAGCATCCTTGAAGATACTCAAAACTTGACTGATATGGCTTTCAACAACCTGATCTATATTTGAAGGCAGCCCTGTGTTGAAGCAGAGAGTTGGACTAGATGACCTCCCAAATCACTCTATGATTCTACATAGCCAATCCCACTAAGCTAGAATTATGACCTTTTGGAAAAGGACCATGTCTCTCCCTGATAATCAAACACACACACAATCCTTGAGAAGTGGAGACTTCTCCAAACATCCTCGGAATTTTCAATCATTGTAATACATAGGTAGAGTCAGCAGCATCCTCCAACATGATCTTGGCTGTTATGACAGCTAAATATTGTGCCTACCTGCCACTTAACAACCTATAGTCTACATGGTTTTAATAGATGTGGAAAGTACTACAGACAAGTAAGACACTCACTCTCCAGTTCAATAATTTCCATTCTGTTCCCTTCCGTATCATGGCCAACAAATTTCAAACCTTTCTCTTCAAAGCAGTGAGTCAATTCTGGGTTCACCTGAAATATTGAAAGTAATAATAATAGTAGTTCTATTTATTTTTGGATTTAACAAACAGTAGTAGTCAGTTGTAATGATTTTAGTACGCATGCAAGAATGAAAAGAATGGAGAAAAGAGTTGGGAATTTTTGCTTTCTTGTTTTAACAACTCTCTGGTATAAATCTGTAAAAGTGGCCATGCTTACTTAGTAAGACATGAATCAGTAATTTTAAAACTTACTACATAACATTCAAAAGATTAAAGCCAGGGTCCCTTCTGCCTGCTGTCCTCCTGCTTGTGAGCAGGTTGCACTCATTTTTTAAATGGCCCACTAGAGTAGACGTAAAGACTGACATCCTCTTTGAACACTGCATTTCAGTGGTCATGACACAAGCTGTGGTTCAGCTCCTCCTTCAACCTATGAACTCTGCAGTGAGCTGTTTCATTTCCTTGGTGACGTTTTAACCACCCAGTTAATATTCAAACTCTGAGCACCTTTACTACCATCACGTTCTCCTCCCAGCTTTTTAAAGAAACTTAACATTGTCTGAATCAGTTTGTAGCACACACACATCTCGTAGCTCATGTCCATTTGGAGATATTGATGGAGTCAGGTCCCTTCTGAAGTATCTCAAGAGACTGAGTCCAGCTCTTGCCCATCTCCTTGAATGAGAGTATTTTGAATGTACACAGGCATCTTTGCTCAGATGTTCTCAGAGGAGTGGACCTATACAAGGGGCCTACAGAGTTGGATGGCAGGAAGCAAGTGATCTGAATTAGCCTCCGAATTGCAGATGTCTGAAGTCTGCCTACATTTAGGCTATGAAAGAATGTGCACTCTCTGAACAGAATCTAAGCCTATGAATAAGCCAAGGAGCAATGCATTTAAGAAACAGTACACTACGTTATTCCCTTACATTGAACACCTGCAAGAACACCTCTGCAATACTGTGTCTAGTTTCAGGCCCCTCAGCACAAGAAAGAGATTGACAAAATGTTGCAAGTCTATAGGAAGTCCAACCAGGATGGTTAGGGGCTGGACCACATGCAACATAGGAGAAACTGGAAGATCTGAATTTGTTCAGCCTGGAGAAAAGAAGGCAAAGAGTGTACCTCATTGCTGACTTCAACTATCGAATGGGATGATATACAGAAGACTGAGTCAGATTCTGCTCAGAGAGGCACAGCATGAGACAGAGATAAAAAACAAACTGCCCAAGGAAATCTCCTATTAGATATAAGGAGGAAAAGGGTTCACAATGAAGTAGTTAAGCATTGGAACAGACTGTCAAAACACGCTGTGGAATCTCTCTCTTCAGAGAGATTCAAAACTAGATGGGACAAAATCCTGAGCAGCCTGATCTAATTTTGAAGCTGGCTCAGCTCCAAACAGGGAGCTGGACCACAAGACTTACAGAGGTTCCTTTTGATCTAAATTATACTGCCTAATCATTACTAAATTTTGGGTTACGCTTACATAAGACATCTCCCATTGGCTTTAAGGAGAATCATGTCTACCAAGAGAAACACAATTTGCTTAAGCTTTAACTTTTGAGCACAAAATACATTAGAAAGCTTACCTCATATCGATGCCTGTGTCGCTCCTCTACAAACATTTCATCACCATAAAGTTTCCCTGAATATACAGCAAAAAATAAATTCATGGTAATATGTTGCTTTAATAGTTGTTACAACTATTTCTTGTAATTTAAATCTCAAAAAAAAATCACATTTAAAACATAACAGGATACTTCTCATCTCGCTCCAGCTTTCTGTTTTTCTGAGTGATGACTGGTTTCTTTTAATTTACTGTTACCTGAATTTATTCAGAATTCATACTCAACATTCCTTGACCAGAAATAGCTTAGGTAGACTAGAGTCTGAAGGCCACACTTAAATTAATTTCAATTGGAAAGCCCAAAATAAAATAAAAAATGTTTGAGTGAACAAGCAATATAAAATCCCTTCAGGGTTTTACGACAGTTGTACACAAAAGGTGCAGTGAAGTAAGCCTCTGAGTAGCATCTGTTCCATTTTAATAGATTATGTGTGGCAGCTGGCATAATAGCTCCAATGACAGAGAATATTGTTTTTCTGTTTTCCTGATCTCATTACCCAAACGACTGCTGCAGTCCTCTGAGCCTAATCTGGAACACTCTACATTCCAGAGTAACAAGAAGATAAAGGTATGCAGTAAACCAGAATTTGATCATATATCTCACAGTCACAGCTCAAACTTTACTCTCGATCTATCCTAGTGTCATTAGGATTACTATCTCGCTTAAGGGTTAGTACGAGAACTAGACTGCCAAAAAGATCTCCAAAAGTTGCAGAGTGATAGTACCATGATTTTACAAAAAGCGGTATATGTGTTAATTTTATGGAACCACCTTTTCAACACCATTATTTCCATTTGAGTTGTAAAGCATTAGAAACAGGCATCAGATTTTCTAAGTAAACTGCCAGAGCTTTCTATGAATCCTTGATTAATATGGTCATCTAAACAACTCATAATACTGGTCAAGAGTTACAACACACGTTAATTTTTATTAACTTTTCCAAGAAGTGTTTAGGCCACAGAACAACTTGTACATTGTGATATGCATATCTATATCACATGTAGGCAAAGTATCACCCAGGTCAGTCAGATCACTAGCAGGGGCATTCTTTAGAAAGGCAGATTTTTCATTAAATGTTCATATGTATTACACTTTGGGGTCGCACTGAAGCAGATGTAATTTTTAAAAGCTCAGAAGGATACATTCCATAAGTTCAACATAGCTAAATATAATAATAGCTCAGATCAAAGTCAGGCGCAGGGTAATATAAAAAATATGCCTATATTTATTGACGGAAAAGAAACCACTTTTCACACGTTTTCAGCATCACTTATATTACTACTGTACAATAGGCTGATTAATAGGAGATAAATATTACTTCAATTTTAAAAAGCATATAGATCAAATTGAATAATTTGTTCTATATTTTGGTTGCTTCTATTTTGCCTTTTGAAGCATCCTGTTACAGCAAATAATTTTTCTTTCCTACAACAAATAATTTGCTTTCCCAAAACAAGACTGTTTCCAGGACTGGGCTACGCCTAGGGCAGTGCTGGATCAGAGACCGGAGCTAAGCAAGGCCTGGCTATAATTAGGATACAAACTAGCAAATACTGTCAAGACAAGATGAGGACTAAGGCAGCAAAGCCAAATGACGTTTAAGGCTGAGGTGTACCGGCAACTCCAGGGAATGACAAGCAGTGTTTAGGTCTGGCAAGAGCATAACAGGTAAAAGTCCAGGTTAGTTCTACCAAAACACTTCAGAGGTAGAACAAGAAGCCCTGGTTCACATGTCCTATCAACTTATAAAGAAAATGCTCTGATCTTCCCACAAAAATAATGAATTAAACTACCAAAAAATGCATTTCAGTTACCTCAACAGACTCCTTAATGTTTATTTAAAGCATTGGACCCTAACTGACCTTTTCACTGGAACCTCCACATGCCTCTCATTTGTTTCTTTACGTTCTGATCCTGGGTAAATGTATACGGGAACTGGATCAGAGTAAATGAACTTGGGGAAGCTGTCACCCAGCTGCTTGCTTGAGAGTGTAGTCCTTTAACAAAATGTGCTTTGGGATTTTTGCTTTGCTGTCTTACAAAGCTCCTATCCAAAAGGCAAGTCATAAGAGCAGAAATGTAACTTACTTAAAACAGAATTTTGTGTTTTGAAAACAGTCCTCCTCTTCCCAAGTCTCATGGTTCCACCCATATCCCCAGGATTGTGTTCTGGCATGTCAATAACCTGTAGAGAAAAATTGTTTAAACACTGTTTCATCCAACAAAGAAAAAAAATGCAACAATTGCACAACAGGCTGCATAGATTTATAAATGGTAACATGATTTTTTTTCTTATTTTATTTTTCTTATCAAGACAGTGGAAGTCCTCTTTGGGAAGTGAGGAGAAGAGGAGGGCATGGAGCAGCAGAGTGAAAAGAAGAGGCCACTTGTAACAGGACTACAATTTAATGTTGTAAAAGCAGTGTACTAAAAGAGGTGACTCCAACATGTGTGTGCTATTTCAGATTATATATGTAACTCATTTATCACAGGAAGAAAATAGAAAAATCTTCCCCCCTAATTCACCTTTACTAAAGGGTTTCTCAGATTGCTTAATAATCCACAAAATACTAGGTTGCCTTGTATGAAGAATATGCTATTTAACATAACATTTAAAGAAGAGGATATAGAAACACTGGGTTTGAGAACTGAAGCGGACGGGTCAAATGGCTGCTATGTGGGTCAAGTGGAATTCAGGATGGTGGGATTCAGTAGATGTATGAAACAACGGCTTAGCGGAAGGAGTGTGTTTAGTTTTGCTCAGTTTGAAAAATCCTGCTGGGTCTCAGAGCCACGTTTAGAGGAAGTCTGTCTCAGAGAGGTAGAACAGTTCAAAACTGTAGAAACACATGAGCTGAAACTATGACCTACGTGCTTGTATTCGCATACACACAGTCAGTGAGGAATGTAATTGACAAAGAAAGGTTCTAAAAATACAAATATTCACACATACGAGTAATCTGGAATTGGATTTTTATTAACCGTAATTTGCCCTCTGGGAGTAATGAAAACAATTTCTGATGATACACTTCATAAAGTGAAGTTATTCAATTTAGAAGGGATGGTGGAAAGTGCTTAGCCTTTGGCCTTGTGCCAATGCATTTCAGCTGTGCAATTATCTCTGTATAACCTTATACCTTCGAAATGTTATTTATAAGCTATATGCTCATTATAAAATGTCATGAGGAGAAGCTGTGATCAAAGCAGTGGGATATTACAAATCGTCTAATTACCTCCCAAATCATGAAAGTGAGGACTATATAGCACATTCAGCTAACAAAATCTCACAAACTAAAAAAAAAAATAAATCATGCATTGAATCCTTATTATTTAAAAAAAGATGAGATTGTCTGCTTTTACTTTATTTCTTTCCATTTACTTTCACTCTTACACTTTTTTTCCTGAAGTAGCGGCCACATCAGAAGCAGTTAGAATGTATGCAGCAGACTGTACATATGCGTCAAACACTCTGACCCTCTGAAATCAAACAAGGTTTCCATGAGATGTTATTTACTTGCCTACACCCATACTATGGATAACCTTAAAGTTGTGCTCTCGACTCGTCAAACAGAGATGAACTGGTAACAAGCAGCTATCAAGTACTTCAAGTATATGCTTCTCTTCTGACTACAAAAATTTCACTTTAACAACTGCTTAATGACAAGAAAAACAATGAAGGGTTTGCATTTTTTTTAAGTTTGGAGGCAAAAATCAAGAGTAGACATTCCTTCATTCTCAGAAGTGTATCAAACACCTACATACTACTATCTCCTAACCACAATTTCAGATTTTTCTTCCTAAAAATTTGGGGCAGGATGTTTTTGGTTTAACTTTGCTAATGGAATCAAGGTAATACCCAGGTGTTTAATTTTTGTAGTCAGGTGAGGAAAGGAGCTACTTATGAAGCAACACCTCAGAGCTAATCTGACTCTGGATCTTCCTCTTGGATACGTTCTGTGGCTCTGATCAACTTCAGCAACTATCACAGCACCACCCTTAACGTTAATATATTACATGAGTTTCTCTGCAACAAAGTCTGTGCAAGAAGCTTTCAAAAGCAAAGGGGCACTGCTGCCCTACAGCCCAAAGACAGTAATAAGCATCAGAAAAGCAACTATTATGGAAAAATTTGCCATATTTTACAGAATTTATTTGATCAAAGACAAACCTTCAAGTGGTGGTTATTTTGAACAACTGTGCAACCGAATAGATTCTTCAAAGAGCTTATGTGTCCTGCCACAGAATAAATCAGCTCTTACTATGCATTAGCTCTTTGAAGAGCAGAGAAAGCACGAGCAACAGGCACCACAAGCAACAAAAACACATCAGTAGGGAGGGTGCAAGAAGAGATAAGGCATTAATTAGGTCTTTCTTACCCAAATTTCTGAAAACTGCCAATACTACAGGGCTTTTACAGAGATCACGTATTACACACTAGACAGCCAACATGAAATAAATAATGAATCACTCTGGCATAACACAAACCACATTATAGATATAAAACAGTCTGATCAGAATTAAATCATGCTACTGGTGAATAGTGACTTTAACTACCCATGAACTGCAATATTCTTTCAGAAATCTACTGCTTGGATTGTTTCATTGTTGTTAGGAAACATATAAAAGCTAATGAGAAAACACTCAAGCGCAGACACTCAAAACAGAGCAGCCAAGGCCCTGAAATCCCAACACCTATCATTTCAGTAACCGCCCCAGGACCATTAAGTTTTGTCTTTGTTTACCTCATGTCCTGCAATGCCATTTTGAGAAATACATCTAACCTTGGTTATCTTGGGTAGGGTGTGTGCGTTCTGTTTTCGGGTTTTTTTGGGGAGTAGGGAGGGGGTGCGTGGAGAAGGCAGAGAGGGAGAGGAGCATTACTTGAACAACTCATGGTAAGCCAGCTTTGGAAGCAGGTTCTTAGGCATTTTTTGCCTTTTTACTCTGCCCTTGTCTAGTAAGCAAATGATTTGTCACTGCTGAAAGAAATTGTGATACATGTAAGTGCTGATCAAAGGATCAGGAGAAGCCCCGACCCCAAAGATTAATTGAACACTGCAAAGAGGCTCTAAGACACTCAGCACACAAGAGATGTGCAGAGGGAAAGCTGACAGGAGCAGGGAATACAGTGACAGGTAATGATGAATATTAATCCCTGCTGAACACAGCTGTAAAAAAAACCCCAGCAACACAAGCTGACAAGGACTCAACTCAAACTAGAGGAACCCATTCTTTTATTGACTTTTGCATCATTTCTCTGCAGGATTAGTCAGCACTTGCTAGATTCCATCCGATCTGTTTCAGTCCCAAGTTCATCAGTAACCAGACTCAGCCACCTACAAATAGGATGTTTATACTAATATTTTAGAAATAATAGTACAAACATTTAAAGAAAAAATTGACAGATGCAACACTAAGTGGTACTGACAGCTTCCAACTTGGCAAGTAAACCATTCAAAACCAGGGATTTAACATTTTCCATTACTGCAAGAAGGTGCAAGGTTCACATATCTGCCACAATCCCTTACTCCCTTATCCCCCAAGGATATCCTACTTCCAAGCAAACCCCATCATTGCCCACTTATCTAAAGCACTCAGCCCTCTAGGATGGAACTAGTTGCCATAAAGCCACTTGCGGATTTCAGACTACTCGGTGCTCCATTACTCTGATTGAAGTATTGTTTGCTTTCAAAAAGATGACCACCGTCAGGTATGAGATCAAAGCAGGACTCATCAATAGTTGATTCATGCAGCTACACAGTGGTATGAGTAACCAGCTTAAAAAATCCTGTCCTCTACTCCTTCAATAAACTACAGCACAGTATCTAAATATTCCAACAAATATCAGCTTAAATTTCTTACACTCTTAAAATCCCATAGCATGTTACTGTCAACACTTTCCAGTTTGGGCAATCCTCTTTTCTTGAGATTCGTTGTTTCCTATTTTAGAATTAAGTAACTGCCCTGGACCATTTAATTAAAGCCTAAAAACTCTCTAAGAAGGATTCTGCCTCAATAAGTAGAAATTCTGGTACAGAATGTTTCGTAACATTTAGTTCAGAAAAAGTCATAAAGAGTGTAACTTCTTTTTCAAACAGTGCATACTCACTCATAAGCATAGTGCAGTGAACTAAGTCAGTCAATGGTGATGTTGATATGCAAAGCCCATATAGATAATGCTTAACAGCATTTTAGAACTCATTCTAGTTATTCCAATCACATGTCCCAAAGTCAGCTTAAAGACTTAATCAAGCAGAAATTTTCGGACTGTTGGCGTTAGCGAAAGGAGCAGAGTCAGATAGTGCTGGCTATAGAAATACACTGGAGTGCCAGTCGTGCCATGCCAGGAACTGCAGGATTTGCCACAGACTTG